TGTGTGTGTGTGTGTGTGTGTGTGTGTGTGTGTGTGTGTGTGTCAACAGGCGTGACAACTTTAAGAGTGTATTTACAGCATCAACTCAACTTGGGTTCTAGGCAACCAGAGCACAGGTAGTTAATGGTTTTCACCTATTGTCCCAGATGCAAATACTTGCCTTATAGGCTACTATAATGAAGGAAAATGAGCAATTAATTAAATGGGGGAAAGCCCAATTTGGATCACCTGCGATTGAACTACTGAATATTCGATTTCTTGTTTTGCAGTCTTGCTGTACTTTTCCACGGGTTAGCGGCAGCTCAGACTTCGGTTAAACCTTTAATGCAGGGCATTGACGGCACAACCAAATCATTCCCTGGTTGATTCAAGTAGGTGCGTTTCTCACGCTGGCAGCAGATCCTGCTTCTGCATTTACCGATAGTTTGATTTCAGAAGCCTAAACACTCAGTTAGGCTTCTCATCGCTGTGCTGTTTTCATTCTGATCGCCGTTGACAGCACTCGCACGGCATTTCTGATTAGAATGGATTTAATACGAAGGGAAACGCCATCTGCTGCTCATCACTCTTTATTGTCTCTCAAACGCCAAATCATCTTTCCTGTAGCGAGATGAGCTTCGATGCACTGCATGAGTTCACATCTGCCTCTGATTTCCAGCGGGCCCGTGCTGTCAGCATGTGAGTGAAGAGCTGAGGCAGGGACGTGGCAGGGGCATGCAGGGGACCAGATGGAACTCATAGTGTCATCGGCCAGAACCAGAGGGAATAACGTGGCTCTTGCCTGCTTTCTCTCAGAGGGGACACAGAGCATCCCCTGAATCCCACGTCCAGAAGCACCCAGAACCCCATTTGCCTTTGGGCTTCATCTCCATGCATATGAACACTGCGACTTCTTTCAAGGTGGCAGTTTTGGGGGGGTTTTGTTTTTTTTCTTGTGCAGGGGTAAAGTGGTGGTTTCAGCGAAGACAACGATGAGCTTAAATACTGGAGCTCCTACCTTGGAGCTGGCAGGAGTTGTGTCGCGCTGCATTTAGACTATAATGAGAGCTTTAGTGGTTTAAGGAATCCAGCGCGCTTTCTCGCCACAGCCTGGAAACCCCAAGAGGCCATAATGGGCCGGTCCCAGACGGTAGGTGCCAGGGACCGGGCCACTCCCAGCGCCAAAGCAACAGTAGCAGTACACAAATGCTGGTTTAAAAGGTTAAAAGTGCTGCTCCCTACTTTTTTCCATTTATTGGCTTGGCGGTCGCAGCTGTATTTTAAGTGCTATCGTCTCTTAACCGCCACCCTGTTTCACTTTCATGTCCCAGCCAAAGTAATTTGAGGCTGCGTTTCTCCCCTTTTTGGAATAGAACAGACTAAACTGTTTTTCTCTTTCTCTTGCTTAACACCCCCCTCTTATATGCACAAACTCATCCCACACCTTTGCTCTGGTCTTTTTGACCAGAGCAAAAAGACCAGAAAAGACCAATATCAGCCCAGAGCAAAGGTGAACTGGGCTGATATTGAATTGCGCTGCCCCTGGATCTTAGTTTCAGACCGTTCCCCACCTCTGTGTCCCACTTATCCTTTCTCCAGTGGCAGCCTGATGATTAGGATACAGAAAGTCGGTTCATTCTTGAAATAAATCTCAGGGTTGCATTTACTTCCCTAAAGTCAAAACATAACTAAACATTCCTTTATCGTCTAATGTCTTTAAATTTGGCTGAAAAACAGCTCAAATGATAGATTTCCATGGGTTTTTTTCCCCCAGTTATGACAAGTTGCACTTCTGAGGACACCAACCTGCTAACATCTGACATTTTTACTTCCCAATTGCTTGATATAGCAAAACATTTCTGTCAGATCCAATAATAGTAATTTCAAAGAAGTGTGTGCCAAATGGTAATGATTACTTTTAGTCAATATTGAGATGTCTGTCAATCTTGAAATGCCTGACTTCCTGTTTTGATCGCGTAGTACTTGTCCAAACTTCTTTCAACTCAGAAATGCTGCTTCTCCAGCCCTCAACTGTTGTTTTTCTCACCTGCCGCTGGCTCTGTTGCTCTGTCTTATCTTCCTGCACTTGCCTCTCCGAGCCTCACATTTCCACCGAATGCACAGCTCCACCTGGAACAAGTGCATGTTGGTACTGGTGGCCCCAGTAGCTATGTTAGTTTCCACTGGGCTGAATGGCTGAGCTTATCTTTGATGTTCAACTCCAAGAGAGATTAGCAGTCAGCGTGATGCTTGCGGCTGCCTCCTCTCCAGCATCCATCCTCTTCCAGAGTAACTTTGTTCACCCGTGTCAGTCCTCTCCTGACATGAGCTCAGACATGCAATCAATAGATTGCATGTCTGAGCTCACTTGTATGAAATTCTTGCATATGTCCTCTGTATTGCAGTTGAGTGATGAGGAAATATTTATTCATATTTCCCCCAAGGTTATGATTTTTCTTTGATGCTGCCTGTCTTAAGTGAGGGTTTTTCAACCCCACATTTG